AAAAAATTATAAAGATTGGTTAAAATTTGAATGATTTTTATTAGAAGTAATTATTAATTTTTATATTGAGATACAAAATCTTTTTGCATATGAAAATAATAATGTAATTTTGCATGATGAAATTCAGCCAATCAAAGAATAATACATGTGATATTTCAGGCGCGGCTATTACTATGTTGGAGGGAATCAGTTATTTCAGTTTGGGACGCAGATCAAAGTGCTTTTTCAGAGTGGATGGGTAAAATAAATAAATTTATACGCTAAATTTAAAAAAGAACTATTATCGTCATCCCAAAGGTGGCACGTAGTCTGATCACAAGCATAGCGTCACCTACGTTAGAATTTGATCAACTTTCTATTGATGATCTTATATATTAATCCTTTGACATTTTTTATTTCTTTGCTTATTTGATGGCTCTTTCGCCACGCGTCTCGAATGAAACGTTATTACCAACCACTACCACCACAACAATCGAAAAAATAAACAATTTAAACAATGTTGATAATGATGATAATAATGATAAGACGGAAAATTCTAAGCTCAATGTTCCTGACACTTTAAAAGATCGTGTTAACATAGACTCAAAAGTTCCGGACATAAAGGCAGAAGAGCATGAAGAATCACTAAAGAGTTCACATATTGTAATTGAGAGTGAGGATAGCCATAGTCTATCAATTAAACGTGATATTGAGAAGGTAATGCGAAATTTATTTTCCAGTTTAAAAAGTATCAATAATATATTTGAATTTTCTAAAATAGGGCGTGATAACATTACCGTCAGTTAATAATGAAGTTAATGATTTAGATCCCGAAATGATAAAGCTTGATCAAATTCCGAAGGTGAAAAATTTATACGACACGAATTGATTCTTCCAGACATTACTAAATTATTATATTGATTAATGGTATACAGTTTGAGCCATTGTTAAAGCCAAATCTTGAAAATACCGGGTATTCTTTTAGTAGCCTTTGGGGCGGATCAAGTGCACCTACTTCATCAATGGACTCAGATACCGAATGTATGTTATATTTATTTTTTTGGGTCTTTCTATTTGTATTTTGTTTTTTTCCCTTGGTTAAAATTGATTTATTTAGCATTTTTTAGACATGAATCAATGTTCAAAATTGCAGCACTCTTTCAATCACATACGCGTCAATATGCCGAAGAGGTTTGTGAGGACCAGGTAAGGGGTGCGTAATTTTTATAAATTACTTTAATTTTATTTACTTATCTATCGTTATAAATAAAAAAGATATTTGTAATAAATATTTATGGAATCGATTTTCTAGAGAGTGATTATCGACACAGTAAAATCTGTTGATGAATATTGTGCACAAATTAGTCAGTCGATGATCGCTGCGCAACTACAAGCAAAAGTTAATTTAGAACAAATTGGTATTGGTACGTAAGGCCTATTATTTTGTAATTTCTGGACAGAAAAATTGCAATTTAATTTAAAAAAAAATCAAATTTCAGTCAACAGCCTTATGAAACAAGTAGAAAAGACTCATTTGCACATCCACGAAACATTTCAGACACTCAATAAGCTCGATAAATTATTGTCCGTGGACATGCAATTAGGTGGCATAACGGCAAGTGAGCGATGGCCAACAATACAGAAACTTTTTGTAAAGACAAGACCAAAACCGGCGCAACATGGTGGTTCGTTTCAATTCGAGACTAAAAGGTTGTCATTACAACAGCGTAGAACACATCCGAGTGCTGTTGCTGTCACTTTTGATACTGTGCTTTGTGCTAGACATCAAGATGTACCACTGCCCGATTCTTTGACACCAGAAAAACAACAACAGCCAATCATAATCAAAAGTGCATCATCTTCAATGCAGCAACAGCATCTGGAATCAGAGAATAATACATCATCTCAAGTAGCTGAACAGATCACGACAGCATCATCTTATTCGTCCTCACCATGGTCAATCAGTCTGTCTCCAATTCGTGAAGGTCTCAAACGAGTAGGAAGTAGTACTGGAATAGATACTTTATTATGGCCTTCATCTCCTGCTTCCACTCAAAATTCTAATTCATCAAATACTATTACACCTACTACTACTAAAAGCGTATTTACAACATCCCAATCATCGTCTGGAACTGATAATAAGAGCAGCAGCAGTAATAATAGTATTAATAAAAGCACAAGTAATGTGAAAGCATTGTCGCCATCATCTGCTTCCGTGTCTTTGCTTACTGCTATGCTACGAAAATCAACAAGTCTTCCAGAGGATCGAAAGAAAATGAAATCATCGTCTTCAAAAGATCCCCCAAAAAAATTAACCCCGGATAAAATGGAAAACAAAGCAACGAGTGCTGTTTCTAGTTCCTCAACTGAATTAACACCACCTACTCGTCATACTCGAACATCATCCGAATCTTCGAATATGTCAAACAATTCATCTGATTGCGATGAGATTTATATGAAATCCTCTGCTAATAAATTATCGATACTGAACCCGAGCATTACTAAAGCAACAGCTGAAAACACGGTGAAAGAAGATCCAACAGTTGTTGATAAAAATCTTTCATAACGTATTGATAGATTTTAAGTTTTATTTATCTAGATTTTCTATTTCTTTGATACTGTTAAATATCTAATTTAATGCATTGAATTGAATTTACCAAACATTAATAAATAACTTACATGTTTATCATACAGATGAATTGGTTAACTAATAATATTCATTCAATTATGAATTCCAATTGTTTATTCAACACAGATAAGTTAATCTAATAGATTTCATTCAGGCGGTGGTGAAGCCCAAGTCTGATTATAATACGGAGCCAAAATATTCTTAATCTTATCAAATAGTTGTGTTTGCATTATAGTATTCCCGTTAAGCTTGAGCGATTCAACTTCATGCAACCACGCTACCGACTCCTCTACTTCATGATTATTAGAAAATCCGATAACAGTACTCTCCACTTCATCATACCCCAATGAAAACTGCACCGCAAGTTTAGAGATGTTTTGTCGATATTCATTAGTAGCGATCTCGGCACATTTTCTAACAGCATTTTTTAACTCGGTGGACGCTGGATGCCAATTTGGCGGAGGTTTATCACGTAATAGACCCATACTTAAGGGTGATGCATTCAACACGTATTTAACTTCTGCTTCTTTGCGAAATTTCTGAATATAGTCGACAAGAAGCGTGTTTTGTAGTGTGTAGTGACAATATGTGAGGATGATGTCAATAGGTTGGTGACGATCGTGTTGAATTTTGGCAATTTTAAGCAAGACGTCCAGTGGGTAACCTTGTTAAAATTTAGCATATATTTTATCTTTTATGATAAATGAAATGATCTGTATTTACTTACCACTTATCCCAACGTATCGAATTTTCTTTTTTCTCTTTTTAAGTGTAAAATTAACAGGATAAGAAATAGCACAAATTTGAATTACAACAATAGATAGAAGAATTGACAAAAATTTACCTTCAGCTCAAACAATTTTGACAAAGCTCCATTAACACCAACCACATCCTCCACCTCGACAAATTCCACATCATGCGCATATACAATATCCAAATACTCGGTCTTTAATCGCGCCAAACTATCATTCACACTCTTTTCCACGCGTTCAGGCGAATAGTCAAAATCTTTTTTCAGGGGACCGTAGCGGCCTACTTTAGTGGCAATGTAGTATGTGTTTCGTGGATATTTATGACGCAGTGCGTGTAATGCATCGCCTAGTATTATCTCGCTGTCGCCATAATATGGACTTGTGTCGAAACCATTTATGCCTAAGGTGATTTAAAAGAACGAGTATTATTTAAGGCGCGTGATGTGTTTATAATGAATAAATTTGTGTAATTCGTGCCTAGTTCGAAGGCTCGTTGTGCTGCTCGTAATGGCCAATCGTTTTCTAGAGCATTATAGAGACCACTGAATGTTCCAGCACCAAACATTAGTTTTGTCAACTCTAACTTTTCCTGGTTGACAACCTGTACAAAGTTTTTTTCTTATAGTTGATAAATCTTTGTTTTTATTCAAGTTGAATGAACTTCACCAAACCTTATGTCCAGACAGGGGCGTCAAGTCCATTGCGCATTACCGTAAAACGCAATGGAAACCACCACCCATGTATAATACCATAATTCAGACCCGGGTATTTTAAAATGTCGGCTGATCTTAACGAATTAGTACCCTAGCCATGGCAAAGAAAATTACTCGGAATGTTCAGATTAGAAAATCTGAACAGCTGAATCATGATAATGATCAGTAACACTTAATTTGGCCATGTGACTTATGTCTCAACCTCACTAATTCGCTTCTCTCTTGTAATTAGTAACAAAATTATTTATCTGCGGATCGAATTTTCTGGTGTATTCTGATTTGCGAGATTAGTATGGGTTGGTGCAAAAAGATTTGTACCTCAGACAAATATTAATAAATTATTTTTTCAAAATAAAAATTTTTAATTCTGTCTTATTTAATTAAGTTATTAGGTATTAGGATTTGTTTAAATGTAAAAATTTTTATTATATATCTTTTATAAAAAAATTTTTACTAACAATAACTTTTTTCAATTATTATTTCTTAAATTTTACTATATAAAATTTGATTAAAATTAATATAAAAATTATATAGT